CTGCCCCATGTTCTACCACCCACTACCACTTTCCTGGATGGAGCCTGGCACAGTCCTGTTTGCAGCCCGCCTGGGGATGCAAGAGTACAAGTTCTGGCTCTGTGGGGCATTGCTGCTTGAGTTTTCCCAACAATTCTATTATGTGTGGTCCAGGGAGGCTGGACTGGAGCAGCCTCTAGATTTATTATAGCATCGGGCCAAGCAGATTCTAGGCTTTTTGTGCAAGGGGCCTCTTGTTTGGGTCAGCAGGGTGAGCACCTGGGAGGACGTGTGCTGGCAGCCTCACACAGCAGCAGGTTTAGCTGTTGCGGCAAGCGTGGCGGTTGGGAAGTGGTCAATGAGAAGATGACCGGGGCTGTGAGCCAGGTTCCTGAGGCTTGAGTGTGACGCTGCCTTTGGCTTTTTGCAAGCCTCACCTTTTCCTTCATGTGAGAAGCTGCTTCCTGTTTGTGTGCACCACAGCGGCCCCCGGCATCTGTGCTTGTACAACGCTTTTCCTGTGCACCTTCCCTTTGAGCAGAAATGGTTCTGAGTGTCAGAGGTGGATGACCGGGGCTGTGAGCCAGGTTCCTGAGGCTTGAGTGTGACGCTGCCTTTGGCTTTTTGCAAGCCTCACCTTTTCCTTCATGTGAGAAGCTGCTTCCTGTTTGTGTGCACCACAGCGGCCCCCGGCATCTGTGCTTGTACAACGCTTTTCCTGTGCACCTTCCCTTTGAGCAGAAATGGTTCTGAGTGTCAGAGGTGGGGGAGTGGGTGGGGGTGGGGTTTTTTGTGTTTGTCTCTCTCTTACCCTACCACTGCCAGCTAAAACCTTTTAAAACCTCTGAAGTGTTTGGATGTGATGCCGTGCTTTTGTTGTCTTTTGCCTGCTTCCGGCAGTTTCTTATTCATGTTTTCAAGGTTTTCTTTTGCTAAAAAGGTACAGTGAAGGCTTGTGAAGCTGCTCTGTTGGAGCTTTGTGACTCTGAACCCAAAAGATGCCTGCCTACAAGTCCTGGGCTGTATGGGTGACCAGAGCTGCAAGTCCACATAGCTCTGTCATGCCTGTCTTTTTTCAGCAGGGGTGCAATATATAGTGGCTCCTATGTCAGGGAGTCACCTTGAAGAGAAACCAAGAAGACTGAGATGGAGTGAATTGGTCTGGAAAGTTTATGTAGTAAACACAGATAGGGATACAGTTTTGGTGGGTGGGACAGAAGTTGCAGCAAACTTTGCACACTTTCTTGGCATCTGCAGATTGTGTCCTAAGTCAGCCTCCTTGGGAGACAACAGCCTTGGACATGCTTGCTATCCAGGCAGTCAAATTTCAGTCAAAATGGTTTAAAGTTAGTAACTGGAACCATGACTCTGGTCACTGGCTGGAAAGCCAGTGTTTGCAGATTTCGCTTAACCCTTGTCCTGCTTGGGAAGTGAACAGGAGTGGATTCGCAGCAGGTGATGTGTTGCTGTTGCTTTTTGTCAGCTGCATGGCTTTACAAAGTCTAGTTTGTTTTAGCTGTTCTGTATTTGAAAACAGCGTATTCAGGTTTTTTACATTTTTGTGTTCTTAGTGACACTGGGTGATCTGCAGCAAGCCTGTCTCAGAAGCAGCTGCCTTGCTGTGCCCGTGTGGCACCAGAGCCTGGGGACTGCTCACTGGCTTTTGTGCTGGCTGCATCCCTTGGGGCAGCATCTGCCAAGAAGGTCTGCTGCTTTTAAAGCTGATTTGATTAACTGAAGGTCGGAGCAGTACAGATCATTGCTCAACAGTGTCCTTCCAGACTCTGAAACTGTTCAATCTGTCTTCAGCAGTTAGTTTTTATCACAAAAGTGTTTTCGTCTCCCATCTTTTCCTTGCTGACGTTCCAGCCTCCTGAAGGCAAGCAAGACCACATGCGGGCAGGGTGAGTGGTCCACGTTTGGCCCTGGAGTGGGTGGCAAGTCCTAGCCCTGCTTACAGTGTCCAAACGCTTGTGGCTGTCCTTGCCCGACTGGAGCTTACAAGCCACCACCAAGAGATTTCCCCTGTAAATTCGCCTGAAGGGCAAACTTTCATTTCCTCCCCCTTACACTGTGCAAGTGAGCGCCAGACTTTAAAAGAGCCTTTGTCTGTTAAACCAGAAAGCATCCCCCCAGCTGGTGGGGCTCGCAGTTGTTCTGAAGAGCAGCAACTGGGAGCAGCGAGCGCGGCAACTGGGAGCGTGGCCGGCCCAGCAGGAAGGGGCCTGCTAGGTGGGCCCAACACCAGGGAGCAGTGGGACTGGCAGGGCCCTGCCGAGGGATGTGCTGCTTCCGCCCTGCTGCTTCCTGCAGTGTCCCGCAGGGTCAGTCCCGCTGCTGGTGGTGGGGCGGGAGCGAGGCAGGAGAGTAATGTCCCCACAGAGCACAGATGGCCAGTGTAATCCCGTTTGCTGGGCATGACCAGTTAGGTGAACCATGCCCAGTGCAATGCCTTTTTCTGTTTTAAACACACAAAAGCGTAGCATGATCCGAACTGTGAGTGCTGTTCTCCTAATGGAGGTGATGCCGGGGGGCAGAGGGATGGGTGAGGGGAAGCAAGCATGGAGGTGGGCCAAGGCCAGAGGCCATTCTGGGAGAGCACTAGCCACCACAGTGGGGAAGCAATAATCAAATTCGGAGGAAACAATGCACCCTCTCCCCCTCCCGCCCCTGCTGGCCTCGCTGCTCTGGCACCTATCCCCTGCCTGTCCCCACCGCCACCAGGGTGGCTGCGCCTGGCCTGATCCTGCCACCGCCAAGCCCCGGTCCCGGTTGTGCCGCTGTGTGTTCCTTCCTGCCCCAGTTCCTCCCATTCTTGCCTCTTCCTCCTGCTGCAGAGCGCCCTTACAGCTCTCCCTGCAAGCTGCTTTTCAGACAGAGAGGCTTTGGCCCTGGCTGTGCAGCCCCAAGTCTGGCGTCCGCAGGACTCAGTGTGTGCCGTGGGGCAACCAGGCAGGCACATCAGGGGTGCAGCTGGGAACCACGGGAGCGCTGAGAGCCCAGGCAGACTGATTCCAGTGCCTGGGGTCTAAGAAATCACTGCTTTCTCCTTGTGCGAGAGGGAAACGGGCAAAGCTGCCCATTTAACCTGTGCAAAATGCAGAGACTGGGAGATCCCTTTACATCTTGCCCATGATGCCAGTTTCTGCAAGGTTTTGCCTCTGCTGTGCAGGCAGTGATTCCGGCAGCAGAGTTTCCTTGCTGTCTCTGGGAGCACACTGAGCACCCCTGCCTGTCTGGCTGGTCTCCTTGCTGTCTCCAGCCTGCGTGAGCGCAGGTTTGTGGAGCAGCACGCGAACTAAAGTAACTTCTTCTAGATAAATAACCAGGGAATGGGCCCTGAGCCTGGAACATGATTTTTGCTTTTTTTAGTAGTCACACGTTGGGGTCTGCACAAGGTTGATCGTGATGGCCACTGTCCTTTCAGAGCTCTAAAAATCACTTGCACCCCCTTTTCAAGGGGCTCCATAAGTGCAGCATAGCCACCACTGGCACATGCACACAGAAGCATGCCACTTTGTATGTCCTTGGAAGGGCCTGGGCATCTCTTCAGCAAAGGCAAAGAGGAGACGGTAGCTCTAAGACATGTGTGTACATGACATACAGGCGTGTGTTCACACCCAGAAGGAGGAGAAGGGGAGGGTGCAGCAGCCAAATCTTTAAAGAGTGATCCCCAGCCTTGTGTTTATGGTGAAGACCTTTGGCTTTATGCAGAGGGGCCTCAGCATCCCCACCTGCTGCAGAGGCTTTAGTGGGAGCCAAATGTGCATGCAAAGCCCATTTTATTAGCTTGCCATTGCTGGGAGCAGGACGTGGCAGCAAAAGAGGTCCTTCTGCAGGCAGCTACTGCACTTGTTAGGTTTTTGCAGCAAGTCTGTTCATCAGAGCTGGAGCAGCTGGAAGCAAATATAGTGGAAAGGCAAGCCTGGATGTTAAGAGAGGGCATCCACGGAAGGGCTGCAGTCAGTGATGCTTTGTTTAGCCCCAGACCTACATACAGCTGTCTGGGAGGGACTGCTTCAGAGCCTGCATGGCAGAGCAGAGGAGCCCTGGCAAGCAAAGAGCACTCGTGCAGACACATGACCCCAAAGTCTTGCAAAGTAGGTCTCATCAGCCGTGTTGGTGCCTGGGGCTGCCACTGCCCTCTCTCCCTGAGCTCCGCCTTGAGCAGCTCAGAGGCTGTCGTCCTCTGTGGTGCCAGGGGAATTCTCATCCTCTGTGGTGCCAGGGGACTTCTCAGTTTTACGCACCAGTTTTGGCACAGATTATTTTGGTGGTTTCAAAACCTGCCACTGTTGAAACCGTGCACAGGAATTGCCAAACTGCATGCAAATCTGGATATGGTTTTTTTAGCAGTTCTAATACAGGACTTCTAATAAATAATGGGCACACCTATGGAACACTGAAAGTATCTGGAAGACAAAAACAAGAAAGAGGGTTTTGTTCACTTTGCATGTGGCTAGCCTTGGCGTAAGTAATTACGTAGGAAGGAAAGAAGGGTTATTTTTTAAGTGCTTGACTCTCATGGTGTGTGAGGTGGATGAGAGCACAGAGGGCAACGCTCTTCTGCATGCTGGTTTGTGGAGCACGTGCCAGTGGGAGTGCAGCTGTTGGTTTGCCACGCAGACAGGAGGCTTTTGACAACTCATTTGGCATCAGTGACTTGGTTGGGGTCTGATACCAAGAGGCTACAGCATTTGCAAGTTTCCTCTGCATGTTTTTGTGCAGTTGCATTGGGTACGGCTTGTCCAAGCTTCAACATCTCCATGCACAGCTGGGATTTTGTTTGGATCCAAACCTCTCTTTTTAAAAAAACAAAACAAAACAAAAACCAAACTTGTGTAAAGGATGTGTGCTCAAAGAAACAGATTATGTGTCCTAACTTGCTTTGTGCTGTGCCTCTCTTCCAGTTGGTGCACTACATGTGGAGTTTTCCCAGCCTGTGAACCTGGAAGAAGTGGCAAGAATAAACCCAGAGGTCAAAGCAGGAGGTCGTTTTGCTCCAAAGGACTGTATAGCACTTCAGAAAGTAGCAATAATCATACCATTCAGGAACCGAGAGGAGCACCTGAAGTACTGGCTCTATTACCTGCACCCAATTCTCCAAAGGCAGCAACTAGATTATGGAGTGTATGTTATCAACCAGGTAAGATGCTAAAGACACAAGGCTTTATAATGCTCTCATAACAGTGCCTGTGCCCCCTAAAACAGAGGATTGGTTCCTTTATCCTGAATGGCAGTGGGCTGGCAGGAAGGGATAAGGTTGCTTTGCAGGCTTCAGCAAAAAAAAAAAAAAAAAAAAAAAAAAAAAAAAAAAAAGTGAAAATGGACATGAACAAGTTTGCTTTGATGATTTTGATGGAAAACCTGGGGTCCCCTCCCCCAGTCAGGCACCATTCACTCTAAAGAGCTTCTGCTTAAATAAACCACTTGGTGAATGTTATGGTTTTGACCCTGTCAAGCAGCAAAACACCACTAAATTGGGCAAAAAAATCCCCAGTAGCACAATGCAATCTAATTTATCTTTCCAAATGTTCCTTTTTCCCAACTGCTGCAGGAATCACGTACAGAGATCTTTAAGGTGACAAGGTAGCATTAATGCCTAGTGTGGCATTGGGTGTGCCATAAAGCCGTAGGATTTCACTTACTTTCTTGAGCAACTTCTGTTCATGTTAGTAACAATGCACAAAGTGTCAGGATGGAGAAAGCAAAGCAGTGGCAGTGGAGCAGGTGAGAAGTTGTCTTCGGGTGAATAGAACAGAAAAGAAACAAGTAGTGACAGGGGGTTTTTTGTTGGTTTTTTCCCTCAATATCTGATGACCTTAGACTTGTCTTTAAAAAAAAAAAAAAAAAGGCATGTTTCACTCCAGACAAGCTGTCTTAAGTTATACCATAATGGTGGTTAAGTAAGTGGGTGTTGTTCACACTTAGAAAAGCTTAAGAAGTGTAGGTATTCGCATGGGCTGCAGCGTGAAAGGGTAGATGCAGCTCTGAGAGCCCCAGCAGAGACCGCCAGCTCCAGAGTTTCTCTCTTGGATATGTATTTTCATCCTGTTTTCTCAGCTCTGTAAAAACTGAGGTGAAATAACATGCTTCTCTAAATGTAAGTCCTTAAATTAAAGATTATATGTTTGGACATACCAAACACCGTGAATATTTAAAATGGTCGCCCAAGCAATAGATTTCCTCACAGAACTGAAAGTAGGGAGACCTTTTTCTAGAGAGAAAACCAATAGTCAGTTACTATCATTTCTCTTACTTTGCTTATTTCCAGGGTGCCAGAGATCTGGGCGAAAGTAATTTGTGGAGAATTAGGGAATTGGCAGTAGCTCACAAGCACAGCCTCCAAGATGCTACAGTGCCTGTGGCCAGCTGTGCTTGTGGCCTGTTGGCCATGTTGCTGAGGGCGCAAGGCGTTTCTGCAGCATGCAGACTGCCACACTGTGCCCTAAAATTAAGCCCTGTAAGGACACCCTTCCTGTGTAATTTAAAGAGCTGCTGGTGCTGCTGCGGTCCAGCAATGTGAGGCCAGCCCCAGCCCTTCATCCGTCGGGCTGCGTTTTCTTGCACATGCAGCATTTGTCTGTGCATGGAGATGCACAGAGGCATCACAAGGCTGCTTGAGGCACGCTCCCCACCAGTCAGTGGGGTGAAGGTTGCAGAGCAGCATGCCTCCCTTTCCTGAGCATGGCTCGGAAGCGAGGGTGCAATGCAGCTTCCAGCAGTGGTCCTGCAGTGGGGGCTGCTGCTTTCCTGGCCAGGCGTAGCTCAGTAACCAGCTCTGCAGGGGACTGGGGAGAGCTGCCCACCTGCAGTTCTGGTGGCACTGCTTGTGGGCAAGCAGCCATCTCCATCACAGAAAGCCAGCGGTGCAGCTGGGCTGGTTATTTCCCATCAGTGGTGTTCAAGGGTAAGAAAAGTGAGGGGCCTGATCGCATGAAGCTGTGCTGGCACCGATAAAAGCAGGCAAGTGTCCAAAGCCCAACTGGACTTCCTGCTGCTGCTGCGACAGTGCATGCTGGCTTGCATTGCCCTGCGTTGCTGGCTCCTCTTCTCTGGTCCTGTCCTCCAGTGCTAGGGCTTCGGGACTGTCTGTGTGCTCTGAAGTTAACCCTCACAAAGATTATTGCAGCCAGTGTTGTTTTCAGACTCATCCCTTGAGCAAAGTTGGAGTGGGAATCACATCCAGTACACATGGTATATATGTCCTCAACACATCCAGTAGTCAGGTGTAGGTTAGCAAGTAAGACTACTTGATTTGTAAAATAAACATGCTCCTTCTGCATGCCTCTAACTGGCTGTGTCTGGGAAAGGCAGAGTGCTCAGTGGTAGTAAACCTACTGGATGCACTTCTCGAGGCTGAGTGGGAACACTGCATAGAAAGAGTTGCAGAAAATGTATTAATTCTGACAGAAGTACAGTAGGAAAACGGTCTTATTTCTCTGCTGTCTTGACAATTGCTTTTCTCTTTTTCTTGTCTGTCCTTCCCTTTGCATCTGCCCTCTTTTTTTTTTTTTTTATTTTTCCTTCTAGTGGGGAAATATTACCTTTACTTGTTAATCCTGTCTATAACAAAGCAATCACTGAAGCAAGGAGAATTACTCTGTGATCTGGTTCTTACACACTGCCTACGTGCTCTTCTGTGCTCTGCATCTCATAGAAAGAAAGAGGAGAGCTGAGCCCTGCTACTGCTGCACTGGTAATGTCAAACTTCTTCCTTTCAGCGCAATGTGTTTCCGTCAGAAGTCCGTTGTGTCTCCACCATGCTGTTCTTGTGTGCCTGAATGCCTCAGAGTAGGACTTGGCTGAAGTCAGGGGGATAATGTTTGTAAAACGTCTAGCGTGTAACAGGAGCCAGTGGAAAATGGTATTATGCTTCACCCTCTGCACCCCATCCCCAGCAAAACCCAAACCCAACGTGTGGACTAGCAATTGTAGGATCTTTCAGATGAATCTGAGATGAGGACACATGGCTGGGTGTGCTCTTTGCAGCACGCATTTCGATGCTGTGCAAGCTTGACTTCATTTAATGAGAAGGCAGTGGTGAATTTGTGGCATCTCCCTCAGTCCCACTCGCTCCTGCCGTTACCCATGTGCTCTCTGGTACTTTCAGCCATTGCCACGGGAGCGTTCAGGTCTAGAAATGAGTTTTCTCACTGTAGTTCAGCCTGTGCAAACGCCCATGCAGCCAGACTGAAGTTTGGGAAAGGGAAGACTTATCAAATTCCTTGAAAACAATGCAGTTGTTTGACAGTTTTCCACTGGCCCCTGGTGTTCCCTGCAATGTCCTTGGTAGCAATTTTCCAGAATGTGTGTGTGTGCCTATGAGTGTGGAGTGGCTGGAGCATTGCACTTATTCATGTTACTTTGCAGGGGGTATCTGGACCCCCCCCTCCCCCCTCTCGTGTGCAGGCAAAGGAGGGAATTGTGCTCGTCTCCTGCTTACTCTCACAGTGGTGGGGGAGGCCACTTTCCCCTGGGGCTGCTTTTTCCTGCTGCCTGATGTAATGGTGCTGAGGCCTCAAAACACCCTCTGACAGAGAAACAGCAGTGTGTCTCCTGGTGTCTCTGTGTGGTCCTGGAAATCTGTTTCTGCCTGCTCAAGTCCACTGGAGCATGGACTTTAACATGGACATTGTGCATGTGGTTCAGGCTGTCTTGGGGGATCCCCGGCTTTACTAGGAACCTCCCGTTGGAGGTGATGGCTCTCTCCTAGCTGGCCGGAAACACATATTCTCACCATTACCTCCCTGAGACCCAGCGAGTTTAGGATCCAGGGGAGAGAGGTGCAGCCATGTGTCCTCTGCACTGCTGTGCTGTCTGAAGGAGGAGTCACAGAACTGCCTCCTACATGGAAGTGGGAGGCAGAAGGAAATTAGGACAGATGCCTTCTTGCTGGTTTGCAAGCCCTTTAGCTTGAGTGACAGTTCCAAAAACCTCAGTTTTGTCTGTCTGGCACTAAAAAAAGTTCGCATCCTTTGGTAGGTCTTGCTGAGTAAACCAGATTCAGCAAAGGTAAGAGATGGGAAGTACAAAAAAGCGTGGATGTTCTTTTGCTTGGGCTGATCATCTGTAGGTGTGAGAGTGAGTTGGTGTCAGACCCTGCAGGACTGAGGCAGCAAGTTGTCCCCCTTCAGCCAGTCTCTCTTGGACCAGGAAATGGAGATGGACTTGGATGTGTTAGGAGAGACATACGGATTAAAATCAGGAGCCAGAAACAGGTGCGGGGCATTAGCACTGAACTCAGACATGGGTTAAGACAAGAGAACATAGGGAAAAAATAGTGAGGGGAAAAAAAAATAGCAAAAACATGCTTGGACTACATCTTTTCTGGTTGAAAGCCTATGAAATAAGCATGGAGGCTACATCTAGAGTTTGGCTGCACTGTCAAAACAGCAGTCCCCTGGCTCTTCAGGATCATGTGCCTCTGTGCAAGCAAGTCTAAACTGATCTGTTTCCTTGTGGCAAATAACAGGGAGCCTGCATGCCATGAGGAGCTGCCAAGGAGAGGCAAGGGCTGGAGGTTTCTTCAGTTCTGCTTGGTCTGCTCTCTCTCGGGTCACTGGTGGTACTGTGCGCTGTGGTGACCTGGAAGGGACAGGAGCACAGAAAGACTTCCCAACTCTTTTTTTTTTTTTTTTCTTTCAAAAAGTTGGGCATCAGTCAAAGATGGAAGCTTGCAGCAGGTTTCAGAGTTTTGAGAGATTTGAATCTCAGATACTGCAAGCATGCCAGTGCTTCCACATTTCCTTAGGTAAAGAAAAAAGAGCTTTCTGCAAAAAGCAAAACCTCTTGTTAACAGTCTTCTTTGCTCCAGTACAAGCTGTAAAGCCCTGAATACCTGCTGGGACAGAAAACCAGCCTCCTGCCCTCAAAGGAGTTGCAATTAATAACAGCATTGCAAGGTTGCTGCATGAGCTACCTGGTTGCTGTAAAGTTACTAAAACACAGATTGGAGAGGGGGTTTTGTTTAATTTTTTTTTTGTTGTGATTTTTTTTTCTTTTTTTTTCTCTCCAGGCCCTTTGGATCCCACAGTGTGAAGCTGTGTGGCCATTTGGGAGGAGAGTGGCAGTGCCCATGTGAAGTGTTTGACATGTGCCTCGTCCCTCTCCCCATGCCAGGCCCCAGCATGGGCTGTACCGGGGTCTGGAGGGTGGGGCAGCAGGAGAGGTCCCGCACACCGTTGGTCTAGTCACTGCACTGTGCTTTGGGGCTTTTTGGGGAGAGGTTTAAAAATGCAGTTCCTTACTGCATTGTTAATCCCTAAGTGTCACCCAGAGGAGTTAGAGGCTTTCTGAAGTGTGGGTTAATTACAGATGAGCCTCTGCTGGTAACAAAATCGGTGTGAAATGCCCTTTGCCTTGAATTTTCATTATGAAAAGAGCAGCCAAAGGGTGTGAAATGAGGACACTCTTCTAGACTGGACCCAGCAGGTGCTTTGAGGCATGGTTGCACTTTGCACCAGGAAAAAAACGGGGGTAGGGGAAGAAAACCGTCCAATCCCACAGCCTCAGCCGCTCCCTCTCCCCAGCCTCTTTGTTCAACTTGCCTTCATCTTCTGCACTCAAGTTTTCCCTGCTCTTGCTTATGCATGATGGGATCATCTTCCCACCACCTTAGTTATTGTGTGAACCCTTTTGTTTCTAGTGAGGATGCTGAGAATGAGAATTTGCTTAGATCCTCCTCCACGAAAGCTCGCTCCTCCCTGTGAAGTAATTTATGCCGGAGGCAGGTGGTGAATGCTTTTGAAAAACTTGGTTTGACACTTGCATGTTAAAACCTTCATTTGAAAGATACTTCTGACTGTTCTAGGAACCTGCTTTAGGTGTCCAGTTGCAGGTCCATTAACCAGTCTGGATTAAACAGTTTCCAAACTAGTTATTTACTAACCAGGCAAATCCATTTGGGAGGAGGTGGCATTTTAGGCTGCTGCCCCTTGGGCACAGTATTTTACCCATCCTTGATTCACGTCTGTGCGGGTACTGCAGCGTGGGAGGATGGTTTGCACAAGTAGGGGAGTTCTTTGGCTCGACAGTGCTCCGAGGGTGTGGAGGGGGAAAGGTGGGATGTGGTAGAGAAGAAGGGATTTGGCAGTCTTGGTTTCCAGGCTGGCAAAAAAATCCAGCCTCCTTCAGTGGTGCCCTATGAGTTCCCTTCTGCCTGCTCTGTACCCCTGCAAGTGTTTGGATTTGAAGCTGCTGCTGCAAAGTTGGGTCCTGGATTGGAAGTCCTTACTCTCAAACCACCATAATTCTTGGGTTTGTGGGTATGATCCTGTTGTTTTTGGAAAGTACTCGAGCAATTTGCGAGCCCGTACTTGTGCTCAATGCCATGTGTGCTTTTGAAATGTTTCTGCCTGAGAGCAGCCAAACTGATTTCTTCTTGGGTGCCTCATTGCTCAGGGAGGAGAGTGGAGAGTTTCCTGCCCGGCTGTCTGCAAGTCCCTTCATTAACTGTGCCTGTCCTGGGAAAAACATGCCCTGCTGCAATGTCAGCTCTTTTCAGGTCCTTCCCATCATGGTGACAGCTCTCCTGGTTTCATTCTTCCCAGCGAGGCCCCTGGGACAGATGGTGGGTCATGCCCTGCTCCGGCTGGCAGAGGAGCAGCACAGAAGAGGCTGTGCATCGCAACAGTCAGCAATGCCCAGTGTGTGAGCTGCAGGAAGCAGCTTGGACCAGCCTGCCATCCAGTAAACAAGGCTGTGCGTCACAGCCATGTGCTGAACTGGTAGCATGCTTTCCAGGGCCCAGGGACCGTCCTGCTTCTGTGCATACACGACTGCCCAGGGTTTGGTGCAGGAGCAGGGGTGAGTGGCAGAGCAGCTGACCTTAGCTCCTGGTGTCACCTCGTGCTTTGCAAATCGGGTCTGGCATGTGCTCACACATGCTGCTGATCAGAGGCCGTGCCACAGTCCCACAGCCCTCTTGTGACAGTGTGTAGGAAGAGGGTGTCAAAATCCTGACCACAGAAAAGTTTGGGTCTGTGCTGCTTGTCCTGGCTGTAAGCTAAAGCACTGCCAAGGTTTCTCTCTGTAGCAAGGGTCCCTTCTAGAGGAGCTTGTCTCTCTCTGCTTTTCTCCACTGCTCTGGGACGCCCCAGCTGCTTGCCCCAGTGGTCCCTAAACTTTCTCACAAAATTCAATACCAAAACACCTTTGCGTGGCATGCAATGGGGACCGCTCTGCATCAAACCTGCCCTCTCAGAGCCTCCCACCAAGAGAGGGGAGCTGAGCCAGGTCCAGGCTTTCCTCGGCCATTTCAGCTGCCCCTGCCATTTGCAGCTGGCTCAGATGTCATCATCCTGCAGGTGGCATTCTGGGTGGGCTGCTCACTGCGGATGTCCCATGGGTGCTGCGGGGGGAGTGCTTGGGCTTGGTCTTGGTCCATCGCAGGCACACCAACCCAGTGTGGCGACACCAGCATCCAGCAATAGGTAAGAAACTGCTGATGTCAACTGTTAAATTTAAGTCACTTAACTGTTGTGGTTTTTTTTCTTTTTAAATTAGGATGGAGAAGAAGAATTTAACCGTGCTAAACTGCTGAATATAGGATTCACAGAGGCTTTGAAAGAGTATGACTATGATTGCTTTGTGTTCAGTGACGTAGACCTCATCCCAATGGATGACAGGAACACCTACAAATGTTACAGCCAGCCACGGCACCTCTCTGTATCCATGGATAAATTCGGATTTCGGTGAGATGCCTTTTGGAGGGGCATTTTGTTCCTAATATCACCGTTAGCCTAGCAGGCCAGGCGCAGCATTGCACATCCCCACCCACCATTGAAAACATGGGAAAACATCTCTGGCAAAAGCCTGTCTTGGCGTGCACATCCTGCAGGGAGCGGGTGGCTGCAGGCAGGATTGGCTGGAGAGGAAGGGGGAGAAACGCAGCTGAGCAGTTCATTAAAATTCACAGCTTCTGGAAAGTGAAATGTAGGGCAAGGAAAAATTAAGAGCCCATCGTTTTGCAGATGCCTGTGTATCCCTTCTTGTGTTTCAGGCTGGATGCTGGAAGACAGCTAGTGTTTCCACCCAGTCTGAAAAATGTGACACTCTCACACAGCGAGAGTTATGTGCAGCTTTAAAAACACTGCATCAGATGCTATTTTAAGAGCAAAATTTAATATCTTTGGCTGTTCGATTTCAGGCCACTGAGGGACCTGCCCTGGTATCTGAGAGCAAGACAAAACGAAATGCCTTTCAGCATACATTTTGGTTCAGCAAGCTGCTGCAAATAAAAATGTGTCTTCCTTTTCCTTTCTTCTTTTTTATTTTTCTATACCAAATCCCCAAGGGGGAGTTTAAAAGCTCATCTATAAAGTGAAAACCGGTCACGACTCCATGGTAGCCAGTAGTGCTAAAGATACAGCCGTGGTGTTCGTGGCAGGACCCCTGCACGTCTCCACTCCAC